GAGTGTAGCAACCAAAAGCGGAAGAGAGACCCTCTTTGGATGGGAGGGAGGACATCGATTCCACTGCTCTGAGCGATGCGGTGCGATTTTTGTCGTTCTCCAAGGAGCTGAAATTGCGTTTTGAAGGAGAGGCTCAGTGACTTTTCGTCAAAACGAACATCTCAGCTTCGTCTATCATTATCGCGCGCAAAGCTCCACTCAGCCATACTTCCTGATGATTCTCGAAGACCTTGTGATCAGCAGTCTCATCGAAAAAGCTAGGATGAATAAAAATGCTTGAAGTGAGCATGAGTTGGGTAGATCGTTCCTAAACAGTTTTTCCCAGTTTGAGATTTATCACGGAAATCTCCCTTTGTCAGTTTTTTTTTTGTGTTTGTGGGAACCACGTTTTTAGTGCGCTCAAACAGAAGCGTCCACTTACAAGTGGTTTGTATCTGGTTTGCCCTGACGTGTTTTGGGCTTAGGATTCCCGCAGCTTGCGATTGAGGTTTGTCAGTTTCCAGTCGTTCAGTGTTCCTCTGCAGTCGTGATTTTTCGTCCTCTCATTTTTCCGATCATTCTATCGTTCTTTATAACACATTCTTCTTATATCTAGCATTTGTTTCTCATTTTTCCTCTCTATCTCTCTCAGTGGTATTATTCAATAAATTCCGCTGAATTTTTCTCATTGAGTTCTTTGATATTCGTTNAAGCGTCCACTTACAAGTGGTTTGTATCTGGTTTGCCCTGACGTGTTTTGGACTCAGGATTCCCGCAGCTTGCGATTGAGGTTTGTCAGTTTCCAGTCGTTCAGTGTTTTTCTGCAGTCGTGATTTTTCGTCCTCTCCTTTTTCCGATCATTCTATCGCTCTTTATATCACAGTCTTCTTATATCTGGCATTTGTTTCTCATTTTTCCTTTCTATCTCTCTCAGTGGTATTATTCAATAAATTCCGCTGAATTTTTCTCATTGAGTTCTTTGATATTCGTTTGCAGATGTTCAAGAGATTAGCTGCTCAGCGACAAATATCGGACGTTTTTCTTATGGAGAAATTCAAACAATTCCATTCTTTTGTATCCTATTGCTACTTTCCCACTGTCACCAAAATAAAGTACTTTAAAATACACTGCATTTTGATGGAAAACAAGGAACTAAAATAGGACCGCCCTCTTTGCAGACGTAGCGTGTAGGTCCCTCCCCCTCCCTACTGAACACTCACACTCGCTCCTATGGCTTTGCAAAGTGTTCTCTACTCTCACGCCGTATATCATTGACTTCTGCTTATTTCCTTTGCGAATGGCCCCTTCTAATCCGTGAAATGCAGGAGGGGTTTTATAAACACTTTTTCTCTCTGCTAGAGCTCTTCTACTTCCCCCTTTTCTTTCATGTTCGACACTTTTTTGTTAAAAATGGATTGCTGTTCGTTGAAAATGTACATCTTCCGATAATCCTGACGAAAGTTTTCTTCTGACAACTTCTCTGCTCCCTGTTACGCCCATGGCAGGCTATTCCCCTGTCCTTTTGAGCTATGCCAGAACTTTGTTTACTGGACCATATGTCTTTCGATTTCTTCGATTGTTCAAGAGATAATTCAGAAACTTAATTTTTAAAAAACTGAAATGCTGTTTGTTCTACTTCGTTGTAAGCTTCTCGAAAAGCCAAAACAGCGACCTCTTGTTAACCTCAATAATGACCAAGAGATTTAAAGAATTCTGCAGATGCTCATATCGCCGACTATTCCATTTCCTCGACCAAATCCCTTTTCTCTTTTGATGTTTGTCGCGATGAATCGGTGTTGTCCACAAGATTATTACATCGCTCAATCTAGCGGTGGGTTTTATGGCTGCCTCTGTATCTATATTCTGTCATCCAACCTGGATGTATTTCTCTAGCCCGCAGCCCGAATTCTTCTATATCTCTATTTACATGTTTAACATTTTGACATTTGACTCATGGGATCAATGATGCCAACTGCCCTCTGTCTTGGTGTCCGTTTTCCTTTTTTCCCGCGTCTGACCCGTGGGAATAGCTCGCATGCCAGTAGTAGGTTTAAAGTCAACTGTTTAAACTTTACACTACCTTCTTTCTTCACATCTCCCTTCTACTTTTCTTTTTCCACTCTTTTTTGTTCCTTCAAAGAATGTGAAACATTACAAAGATATCCTTGTGTGTTCAATTCTTCTATTTCGTGGATCATGGACTCCTTCGTTTTGTTTTTCCCTTTTCTCTCATGGTAAACTAAACTTTTCTTAGTGGTTCAAAACTTTGAAATTTTTGCAGCGTGTCGTATGCCGTCGTCGTTTCTACGTCGGCATGTACGTGGTCTTCTTCGGGGTAAATTCAGCCCATCGCCTAGTTTAGACGACGCGCCCGAAGTTGAGGTGGGATATTGGAAAATCGATCCTTCATTGACCATTTTTAGTTACACACTGGGCTATGATTTATAGATTGGATTTAATCGGAAACTTCCATTTCAGTATGAGCCACCGACCCCGTCGAACGAGCAACAGTCTTTCCTATCTCAATGCCATTTGGCGGGTATAGATGGTCGTCGATTAGACTTTCCCGAGGTAATTCCATCTGAATTTCATTTTTCTAACTTTCAAAAGTTTATTGTATATTCAGGTGTATTTTGGTAAAACGGGCCTCGACATACCGTGTATACAGCTTGAAAGCTTCGACACGGATATTTTCGCAAGCTATACCGGCCCCGATGGAGGATTGACACAGGTGGGTAGCACCGACATTTGTGTGGAATTTGACGTTTTCATGGGCGTGAGGGTGCAAAAATCACTGCGAGAGGTCATTGATGGCGATTTTCACGCCTCAACTATTTCCCCTCGTGGTTACTGGTTTCAAGAACATAATTATTGTTTCGCTAGTGCGCATTCCTCATCGGCGACCAACGACTAGTTATGAGTACTTGACAATGGTATAGTGAGAAAAAACGGCGGGCATTGGTCGTTAGTAAGAATGCGGCCAGTAGGGTCGGGATCCGTTAGGATTGTCCAAGCGGATTCGTTTCTTCAGGGTCATAACCTATTTAATGTTGCAAGCCTGTTCGACCAACTGACTGATCCGTTATTCAAGTTTTTCGACTGTTTTTGTAATGATAATGGCATGGCCATTAGGATTTTTACACCAATTGATGGGTAACGAAAAAATGTGTCTGGAAGAATCTGGATCTTTACAAGTTTTAAGCTGGGTAATGCTGTAGTGAGCCGTAAATCAAGCTCATTCTGAGCGAGCAATGAATCTGGGACCAGTTCGATAGCTGAATATTACGCTTGAGCAGGTTTTTAATTGATTTTATTGGTATTCGATAGCTTATAACATGGCACATAACATATAACATAGCAGCTTGGAGTTGTAAAAAAACAATTCGAGCAGCCGTTTGTCTGGCATGGCCATAACCTTCAAAAAAGCCTGTAACTAGGCCTAACAAAGGTTTCTAGGGGTATTCAACGTTTTGCGTATAATTTGATTTTACGTCGGTAATTGTTATAAGGCGTAGCCACGGCTACCGACTCACAATTAGTTCTGAATTGTTCAGCCGAAGCCATTTTCCAGGGGATGATCTATCCCTATTTTTCGACATGCTCAAATGTTGAAAGTCTCCCAAAGTCATAGGCAGCGCAGTATTACGTTCATATAGCGATTCTGCTACGGTTGGAAGTTGGGTGCATGGCGCATCCCAGTTGGAAAATTTTGCTGACGGGCTTTTTTGTTGTTTCGTAAATCAAAGTAAGGGATATTGACGATATTGATATCACAGCAGTCTACCGGGTCAATCGCTGCTTCCGTCATGAGCCTCAAGTATTATCGGGACTGAGATCCCTTCAAGGGATTGTCCTATTCTTAGGCGAAGCAATAGGAAAAGCAGTTGACTATCAAAACTAGGAGTTCTTATCTTTGAATGGGACCTTGAAAGACGTTCGAATATCTCTTGGTTTACACTGGGACATGAGCTAGACCCTCAGCCTATCGTTATTGATACTAACCTTTTCCTTTGATGGATTCTCATCAGTTACTGTTCGACTACCACACTCATGCTGTCTCCTTCTGGAAGACTTTGATAGGCTCGGTCACCTTGAAACCTTTACTCAGGTAGTTCAACATCTTTCTCGGAGAACTACGCCCCTTCATAGTTTGTATGTCCTGAGCTACGAGCATTCTCAGTTGTCGTAGTATCAGTTCAGTGATCATCGATATATGTCGAGTGTTGACCTCTTCAGCTTTCAGCAAGAGCTCGTCGCGGCTACATTTCGCTGCTGTTTGCGCATCGTGTAGTGGGCGTCAACAGGGACGCTTTCACAGTGAGCTGGCCGAGCTTTTTTGACCCTTTGTGAGCAAAGTGAACGCGAATTCGAACGGCCTTGGGAACTGGGAAAACGGCTAGTGATCGCTTGCGGGAGGTGTCATCTCCCACGGTGAACTGACAGGTGACAATGAAAGTGGCCGGCGCTACCAGTTCTTTCACGCGATCTTATCGCAGGGTTTGGATGTGATTGTTGTTGATGGAACGTAAAATGTTAGTGATTCATTGTGAAGAAGTAACCTTTCCAGGGACGCTGCAAGGTTGCGCGCAGTTTTTGCAGGAGATCCGAATCTCTATGTCCTTTTTGCATGACCAAATTTGATAAATCGTCGTTTTCTTGGAGGTTGAATTGAAACCGCGTTCATTAGAATTGCATGAGCAGCAGCTTGATGTTTGTTCAGGGGAACCGTCGTGAGAACCCTGTCAATCACACTGTATAACCCATATCCTAGGAGGTCTAATTTCCCAGGCATCCTTACGAATCACGTTCACTGACCAGAATGCGATGCACGATAACGATCACTATCAAGCGCGGACACACCTAGCGTTCCCAAATAAATACTTCTTTATGGCTAGGTGTTGACTGGTCTAATAGAGGACTTTATAAGTTCTTCTATGTAGGGTTCTAGGGATCACTCGAGCACAGCCAATATCAAAATGGTAGGAGCATAATATTGGAGGCTATACATGACTTTCAGGTCGGTGAGATGCGTCGTCAGCCGTTGGTTCGTATGGCAAATTTGGATGACGAGATGAGTTTATCCACGGATGGCATAAGTTTATCGGATGAAAGCGAGGAAGACGAAGAGGACGTTGATCAACCAATTTCGGCTCCATTGCGACGGGAAAAGGACAGGTAGGTTTTTGAAGAGAATTGAAGGAATTGAGTTTTGCCTGCATTTCTTTGTTTCCTTACTTCTGAAAATTGCATTTTTTTTTTCAATCAGATGGACTCCGTTCCAGCTACTTTTTACTAGGGAACAACATGCATTAACTAAATAGCTAGGAACACCGAACTGATGAATTTCTGTGTTTTATGGTTGGATCACTGCTCGTGCACAGCAATATCCGCATAGTGTCATACGACGGCGGGTGTCATATTTCGTCCACAAATTTCCCACTGCGTACACGGATCCTTTAGTGGGGAGTGACCTCACATGGGAAATTGCAGTAGCTTTGCAGTGTTAGTGGAACAACCGACGTTCACCTTTTTGCTATAGCAGTAAAGAACTGCAGAAAGAAAGGGAAAGAGATGCTGGGTCGATGAGAAAGAGTCACACATAAACAGTTGCAAACTAGAACGATGCTTAGTTGTAAAGAACAGATGGAAACAGTTCCCAAACGGGAAACCAGAAAGGAACTGGAAAGAGGGAAAAGGGCATGAGAACTAGGTAATTCAAACGGTGTAGAATGAGCGGAGCTTTGTCTACATACGATATGAAGATTGCTCACTTTTTTCCTTTTCGATATGATCTCGACCTCACCTTGAATTGCATTCAAATTTGAACGAGTGTTAGGTCTGCAGAGTGGCATACCATATAGGGCCAGAGTAGCTAGAATTAGTTAACATCATAGATTACATCCAAGTATCAGTTCAGTACCAGTGCCATCGTGTTAACTTTGCTTATTAAACTTTTACTCTGCCAGTCTCCGACATTATTAGAATTTTATTTCAAATCTAGATCAGGGAGTACCAAATTAAATTAATAGATAAATGAAATTTGCTTACGTCTTTCGGCTCTGAAAGACCTAGAGCAACAAGAGCAAAGGAATAAAATGGGTGTCAGCCAGTGAGTTAGGACTTACAGCGTACAGTGGGTTTCCAAAGGGTGATTTTGATCGGAAAAAGACATATCAATGATTTTTTTCTCTTCTTTTCCTTCTTTTTGCTGTTTGGAGGTGTTTACATTTTTGTCTATCACAATGAGGCTTTCTTCGTTAAAATATCGAGTAGAAGTTTTTCAGAAGTGAAGTTCTCTTGGGTTCATGTTCATCGTTAATAGGCCCGAATGGTCACGAAGATACGCCGAGCAGCAAAGGTGCAGGTGTGTGCAGTTCAGTTCCACATTACTTTTTTCTCCATCGTTTTTTATAGATTTTTCATGGTTTCATTTTCGTTGTCACTTTCATTTTTAATGTGATCAGTCAGTGCGGATACGGAAGTCAAAATTTTACTCAAAAAACTGTTTGAGAGAACAATTCTCGTCGAGCCTTTTGTTCGTTTACAACGAATGATTTACTATCTTTCTGAGCGATATTTTTATCTTTCCACACTTTTTTTCGTACGCGATACTGTGGGTGTAAAATGCTTGTTTGATATACTCCGAGTGAATAATTTGTTCTAGATCATGGTTAATTCTCGATTTATACATTTCTGAAAAACATATTAGCTGGAAAACTAAGTACAGCAGTTGTAGAATGACTTGACTCATAACTTGGCCAGTATTTAGGCAGTACTAGCTCTTATAAAAAGGTAGGATAAAAAATGAGAGCTGTGCAAGAATTATTCGCGTTTTTCCTATTATCTCACTACAAACTAAGCCCATGCAAGAAAGCCCAGTATGTAGGCAACCGGGAGCCTGTTTGCAGAGATTTAGAAAGCGTTTTTACAAATTTTTGAGTAGCGAGAGTTGGACATATCTGAAAGTTAGACCGAGCGGTAAAGAAGGAGAAAAATTTGTGAAGGTAAACTGCAGCTTAAAAAAAGCTGTTTACCGGAGCGATGCCATTTGTTGCTGATTTTTGGGAGTGTCGATGGAATAAATGGATATACATAAAGAGAAAAAGTTAGGTTAATTCTATCCGCGACTCCATAGAAATCGCTGACCTGTGGCAGTGGTGCCGGTGTTGGGTATGGGGCAAGATGAGGAAGGCATCGATATTTCCTCCAAGGGTACACGTTGGTACGAAATCGCGTAGCAGTGGTGACATGCAAGTTTGGTCGGTTTGATGAAGCGAAATCTCCTGGGATGGTAGTCGTCATGGGAAAGCCGTTGACCCAGTCACACAGGGTTTTTGATAGGGTATGCCTGAATTGGAGTTTTCTAAAATTCTAATGTTTTGTTCAGGTTGATTACCTTTGCTCGTTTATTTTTGGGTTCGTTTTAATAGCTCTGGAACTTCCTTTTTCTTTCCATTTGAAGCTCTTCGTCAAACACTGGGTGGTCCTCATTTTCGGTTTTTATTGGCTAAGCTCACTTCTGAATAGCAGTTGCCCTTTGGAGAAGGAAGCGGAAAGAAGTGTTTAGCGGGTGGTCGATAAGTTCCGCTGAGGAACCAAGCTGACAGAAATAATGGAGGGCACGAATGGCCTCTTAAACGATATTGCGAAGTGCGACGCCCCGATGTTAATTAACTGAGCTTCTTCTTGACGGATAGAATTGGGCAAAGAAGGGATTTCTAATTGGAAATTAATTGAACACAGGGGTTTGGATTTATGGAGGAGCTTCCTATAGGCCTTTCATGTTTCATTGAGGTGTTTTATGGTTGTTTAGATTTATACTTGTTTTCTAAATTTATCTGAGAATAGCTTCGTCGGTGTTCCCACCAAAGCTACTGCCTAGAGCCTGAATTCAAAGTGTATCATGGCCATGGCCTGGAGCTGAAAACCATTGAAAAGTTTCTTCTTGAACAGCTATGGGAAGCAGTGGAGCTAGGAGTTCAGGGTAGTCATTTCCCGTCCATCTGAGTGTCGGATTTATGTCAGTGGGAGTTTCGTGCAGTTAGGTTGCGAGAGATTCACATCCTCGAATTATGTTCTTTATATGGATCGCGATAATCGTTGAAACTTTTCGTTGAAATTGAGTATTACTTGTGATTGGCCTTCAATAACTTGATGTTATAAAGTGCGTTCGCTGTTGACGTCGTTTGGATTCCATCCTCATGACGGGATAGGATCGCTGTCTCACAAATCAATCAACTATTCAATTATTCCGATGTCGGCTGCTCAGCTCATTGATTGGACAGAATGATTGAATTCTGTGATGGATTCTGGATGTCTTTAACGGTCCCAATGATTTATTAGGTATAGCCATTATTCTAACATGAAGTGCAAGGGGGAGATAATTGTTGGGTAAGGTGAGGGGGATGGAAGAAGGATTCGCATCGAAGCTACTTCTACCACAGCCGCATTTCCGATAGCAAAACTATCAATTATCTCACAGCAGCACTTGTATCTTTCCAACTCAGATCACTACTGAGTCAGCTTCTCAGAAAGCACGAAGGAGTCGTTCTCTCAAAGTGATCTTCAGTCAGGTGCCAGTAGCCATTGTTTTGATGGCAGGTGACGATAGTACTGCGTCTTCTTAGCTGCCGCTCTACGGCGATAACGTGAAAGATACATTGCCATTGAGTGCGTAGTATCAGGCTGACATCGGCAGAGGTCGGAGGCTCCCGAGTGATGAATGGCTCGAGCACCGATGACAATGTTCACTGAGCGTAATCGCTCCCTGGTCGCTCGCCATTACACCGATCTCATCAGCTGATGCAACTCAGCTGCTGAGTGAGTACTCAACGTGAGTGGTGCTGATGCCACATCTTTTATCAACGATTTAGCAGCGGCGACGGGCTCGAAGGGGAATGTTATTAAGGCTTTAGCCGAGTGGATGATGTCTGTGAAGCCAATTGTGAAGGCGCTGGTCTGCCTTTCACTCGGGAGAATGTGGAAATCGGGGGTCAGGGCAGGACGAGATGATTTGCAGGGTTAAAGGGATTATTCTGAGGAGTGTAGGAGTTTTATTCAAAAAAAAGCGGGGATTTGATCAGAAGTGTAGAAAATTCTTGTTCTTATTTTTGGGCCACAATCGCCAAAAGGGTAGAGGTGCACGAGTTGAGTATATTGTGTCTGTAGGACCATAAATTGTCATTGTTTAATTGCCTTCAACTGGTCCTTCACTCCGAAACAAGGACGGGAGGGATGGTCCACGGTACATTCCAGTCCGGAGATCGGCTTTTGAGATATTCCGGATGGTGCGTCCTTGTTCCCACATTTGACGTATGGGTATGAGGCCCGTCTGGTACGATAGAAACTCTCGCTTGTTCATTTATACATGCGTCGGCTGGCCGTTGCCACTCGTGCATGCACAAGTAGGTGTTTGTGTAAGCAAATTATGGCCACTAATATTTTAATGGGAAAGCGTGGCACATCCCAAAAGAAAATTGATCACTGAAGGATGTTATTCACCTTCTTTCTGAGAAATTACTGGACCGAAGGAACGGCTACATGATTGCAAAAAGTTTGGTTTGGATTACTATTTCTTCAGAACTGTTGCTACTCGTACAGTGGGAGAACTGGCGAATGTCCTTCGACGGCATGAGAAAATTTTGTTCTCTATGAGAGGTCATTTAGTCTTGGCGTCGTAATTTACATTCGTAATCAACACCAGCTTTTCGTGGGAAATACGATTTATTTCTATGTCTCTTGTTTTCCCACAGAGAGATGTGTCATTGATTTCATTCGAGGGGTTTTCCAAATTCGTTAGAGTTTCAGGTGGGAGAATGAGAATTGTAGAAATTTCTATGGAAAAATAATTCAAGAAGAACCTAAATGTGCTGCATTTTTGGATAAGAGTTGAGAGGCTGAGACTCTGTTCCGTTTTACTTGGAGAGAGGTGCTCCCGTGGGTTGTGAGGGGTGAATTCCTCGTATACTGGATAAGATCGTCAAAGATGGTGTTGGACCCTTGGTTACTTTTTCACCCAAATTCGACTCGGTCACCTCCTAAGCAGCTTTCCAGAACTATTTTTTTAGGGAGTCGGAATCTCTAGCTTCAACGTTGGCCCAAACCCTTGGCATGTGGAATCCGATTCATCCACTAGCACCCTACTAATGAGCATTGTGAACCTAGATGATCATGGTTAGATATAATCACCGATAGTAACCTGGTTGTACCTGTATCGCCATCTAGCGGGAAGCTACATTCTTTCGGAATACACCCTAAGAAAAGCTGCTTCCTTTACGCTCCCATCGTCTCTTTCTTCATTCTGGGAACTAATAGTCTAGTTCCAGGTGCAAGTGTCCCATGCTTTTTCCTTGGGCTGTGATTGAGTCTTCGATGTCTTTTTCAATCTCTCTTCTTGATTCCCTTTCGTTTTCTTGAGTTGTTCCGCACGTAGTCAGAGAAACATTTGCAACCAATTTGCAGGAAGTTCTCTGTAATTTTCGTAATTGTAATTTACTTGGAAATGAATTACGTGGAGGCTCCCCATCCTGCTCCCACTCCGCCAGACTGCTGCAAATTGTGGGAGCGACCATAAATTTCAAACAAACTAAGAATTAGCGGAACAATAAAATGTAGTATCGGAAGTATTGAATAGGCACTTGCTGACTGTATAATGAGCGGATAACTACGTATGGACGTCGCTGACCATGCGCGGTTCTCCAGCCAACTAAGCATTTCTCATTTCTCAGGGTTTTTCTAAATAGAAACTCGAATCTTATTTTCATGAGTTCACTTGATTCCGAAAGTGTCTGGAGAAGCTTGGAAGGTTTTTAGTGGCCCATGACCAGGATATTTATTTATTTATTTATTTGTTGCACATGCGTGCGCCAATGAACAGAAAACTACTAATAGAGATTGAGAAAACGAAACCTTCAAACAGCAAGTGGACACAAAAAAAATTAGGAAGCAATAGCATGGAAGAGGAAATGAATGTGGCAATAAAACGCCTCCGCAGGTACACCACTTACAACGCCGATGCCCGAGCTAAGAGAGATCATTCTAGAAGAAGAGACCTTGAGCCAGGAGTGCCAACTCATGCCCCAAGCATAGTGTATCCCAGAAAGCCCACAATTAGACATAAAGCCACACACGTGAGCACCCACACCTTGTTATCAGGAGGTGTGCAGGATGCTGAGATAAAGCCATCACACTATATGAAATAAGGCGAGAGCAGAAGAGCAGAAGAGTGCAGGTCAGCCTAGGCAACGCAATTAACCGAGGTTATTCCGGGGCGGGCCAAGTAGTCGATATAGTCGAGTAAGTTACTAGTGAAGCCAATGCCAATGCCTACAATAATTGGTAATAGTTTTGGTGGTTTTCTGATTTTCCAGCTTGTACGACAGTGCAGTTGCTCCCGTTTTCGTGTGCATAGATTATCCTGCCAATAGAAGTTTTTCCTAAAAATTTTTCGGAGACATGTCTTGCCGAGCTACTTTCTTGAAGGTTCCAGAAAGGTGAATATTCATAATGGAGTCAGTCGGTGACTGGTACCTGGACATATAAGGGTGACTTGCTAATGAATATGGTAAATATTACCAACTATTATGTCCATTCCATGGTACAGGGGTTTTGAATGAAATGGTAGTAGAGAATATACTGTCTGTACACTTTGCATTAAGATTCTTGGTTCAGGGAATCGTTGAGAGGTGAAAATCAGACTTTTCGAGTTGCTTCATGAGTTTCCCTAGTGCAGCCGGCCAAAAAATGATTTCGAAGGGCGTTCGTACTCAGCGCATGTGTACATGTGCCCTAATGATCTCGCATGAGTTTCGCTAACATAATAACGAGAGGAATATGGGTAGTTAAGTGAAGGAACGAGAGCTGTCTCCCTAATTTGCACACGTTCTTTACTGGGATCGAAAGAACGTTTAATTTTTGACATCTATTTTTGAGAAGGTGGTTGGATAGTGTTATTCATGGAAATGAATGTGTCAATAACAACCCTTATGTGTCACTTCCAGTGAGGAATCCGTCACTCTATGGATTTGGTAATGGAATTTCGTGATCGCTAAATGTGGTAATTGGGCTGTTTTCAGGGCTGATTGGTCGTTGTTTTGAATCAACCAATTACGACAACAAAGGTTTTTTTGTGTCAGGTGTAGATGGACCAAGGTAAAGGGCTTTCTATGGAAAAGTTTTGAGACTTTTCGATTTGCTAGGCTTTTTTTGTGGGTCACAGGCTCAGAGAGTGGATTTGAGATGGTCAAGGGAGAGTAAGATATACGGTGAAAGCGAATTTCGCATTCAACGGGGATTTATGGGATGCCAACCTGGTAGCAACCTTTTCTGAAGAGGGACAGTAGAATGGACCGGAGCGGTCGGTGAAAGCTACCCGAATGAGTCATTTTGAGAAAGACTGTATATGTGAGGCTTCAAAAGAGGTCACCCTAACTTGTGGGCTGGAACAATGCCCATTCCAAGATCCCCTGTTCGGAATGCTAGTTGGTGGAACCGTCTTCTACCTGCTTCGGTCCGATCATCTTAGACCTTTTGCCCATTTTCCTCTATGTATCTGACACAATACCAGCACTTGGTTGTTGTCACTCAGGTACCCTTACACCATGCCCCTGCCTAAAAAACATCTTTCGAGAAGTTTAGTTCTTGCTTGAATTTACTACTCTTTGTCCGGAAATGAGGCGCTCCTGTCCGATTTCGTCAGCTTCTTTTTCCCATACCACGGAGATTAAAAAGCATTTCTGCCATTAACGGCCATAAAGCTTTCCCGAGAGAAATAGGCCGTAATATTTTGAAATAGACGTGAGTCATGGCTGCAATACCGAAACACATTAGTCTCTTCTGAGCCCTAATAGAATTTCGTGGTATTTCGAAGGCTTGGATTTTTTCTTGTTGAAAACCCTTCCAGTCGGCACTGATTCCTTCAAAAGAACTGAAGTTTTTGGCGGCTAAAACAGCGTAGGTCGATGAAGGACTCGCACTCGGCTGGTTGAGAAATCTCACGGCCGTGGCACCTGTCAAGTTTGGTGCCGGGGTACGTGGTAGAGTGAGGGATGTTCTCGTTAGTGTCCCTACCAACAGCACAGTGGTATGAGAAAACGGCAGATGGGTAAAAGGGTGAATGAAGAAAGTGGTTGGTCGCAGTAGACCTTGCACAGCTGCAGCAAACTCTTTACGATCACCATCATGCCAGGCGAAAAACTACGAGTTGATGGAGCACGTGAAGACAGGGATCTTTGAGCTTACTAGCCGGTTCAAGTATTTTAGATTTCTCGTTGCTGTCAGTAGGATTAACAGCTCAGTTTTGGGACTTCATAGGCTTAGCAGTAACCAGATTTGATTTTCTCGGCGCTACCTACTATTCATGGGAACGAGTGCGATGCTTAATATGAAATTAGTTTATGAAACTCTTGGAATTTCCAGAATTTTCTTTCGAATTCAGAGCAAGCTCAAGAAGAGAGTAGAAGGTTAAGTAGACCGCAAGATGAAGGTAAATCTTCAAAATTTTCTTTTGATGTAAACTAGCTTCAATTTTGGATGAATCAGTTTCCCTGGTTCCTCTTGCTCCACGATGGAACTATAGCCCTATTGTCCGCTTTTCCTGGGAACTACCGTTCTGGCGCTGTCAGGTCTACCGTCTGACACTGTCAGGAATAATATCCCATGGAACTGGGCTGTAACAATTTTTATGCATACCTGTATTGACTGAGAAAATCCATACTGATTGGTCTGGTGGTCTGGATTAGTTGTCAAATCTTATTTTAGAGGCAGGTTCTGGAGATGATTCGTAGAAAACAACCTGTTTTTGTGGCGATGAACAAAGGGCGTCTTCGAGCTCGCGTGTAACAGTACGGTGGTTTTTTGAACAACGGGTTCCTTTGTGAGAGTCGATAAGATGAAAGTTTGTATCAGGCTAAAAAACGTTTAGGTAGACAGTTTTCAGACAGTCATCTTTGCCTGTTTTTAGTGCTTCTCTTTGAAGTTGGTACAAGTTTTTATGTTATCGAAAACACTCTCCCATTATTTGAAGAGGAACGCAAGTAAGCCAAAAACTGCGTAAGCTTGCTGCTTTTGATCGACCAAATCCTTATTGTTTGCGAAGTTTTTTTTATGTTATCTTATCTCGGAACCTACTCGTGGACAGTGCAGCACTGCTCAATGGAGCTGAGAGAAAATAATTTCTCCCTGGGAAAGTCAATTGCAAAACCAGTGTTTGGTAGCCAACTACATAGGAGGGAGTTACCAGGTATTTGTGGCTATTCGGAGAAGTTTTGAAATTGTCGGAGAAACTTCGGAGAGCTATACAGATGAACGATACTACCCATCGTCTCGTTAATCATCGATTTGCTTGAACGTGTATTGTAATGTCTCCAAAGCCTCACTGGCATTCCACTCTGATTCTTTCCCAAGCGAGTGTATCATTGGAGTACACAAGTAAGAGTACCTGGGCAGAGAAGAGCACTATGAAGCTATACCAGGGAACGCTTTCGATACTTTCTCTGTGGCCAGAATATTATTGTTTCAGTCAGGATTTAGACCAAAAACTACCCACTCTGTAGTTCTGCTAACTTTTTGGTCGTGTTGTGGATGACTACCACTTGCTGTTTGTCTGTTTTTCGATGGTCTGAGTCAAATGTTGATGTGTAGTAGGGAAAGGATAACAGCTGTAAAACTGCCAAAAACTGTTAGAAAACTGTCAGGGAAACAGCTGTAATCCATCGGAAACCATTTGTTAACCGAAGGTTCACCCTTAACCAATAAATCTAGCCGAGTAATGGTCGTTCCGAAACAGTTTTTTATTGTATGGCCCATATGGTTTATCGTGAAAAATATACGTGGCGTACAGAAAGGTTACACATATGTTCGGTAAGAAGTGAAAGGTTTATTGTGGCTCAGAGACGGTTGGGGGGAGGGGGACAGCTCACATCTGGAATTGGATAGACCAGAGCGGAGAGACAACTTTGCTGAGTACCTTGATTCCTTTACCTTCTTGAGCAGTTCGTAAACGAACCTGAAGGCATTGTTTCTGCGAAAATTTCCTGGAAGAGCTGCAAATTGTTTTATGAGCCTGGTTCTGCAAAGGGGTGTTTACGGCAACGCAAATGCACCGGAAAGTGTGCTAGCCATGGCCCATCGCCTATGGTCAATGACCATTGACTAAGCACTTCCATTTCCATCTGGTTCAATAACTTCGCTCATAATTTATGCCCCAGCGGCCAGTGACCACGGATCTATTCCCAAAATGGCTTTTTCGTAAAGCTAATTTCCTGGAAGGCTCCAAGCATTCAGGGGCTAGTATTATTGGCGGCATAATTTTAAGGGGTTGTTAATGGTCGAGGAATAGCAAGCGTTTGACGTCCCAATTGTGCAGGAGACTCTTGAATATGATTTTTCTGCAAGTGGGGTACTGGAAAGAAATACAACTGATTTCGAGTGGACCCTGTCATGGACTTAATACTACATTAAAACAGCGAAACGCTAGAACAATTAAGTAGGGAAATGTGAAAGGTAGAGAATTTTTGAAGGACTTCTCTGGTTCTTTTTTAGCTGACACCATGGGATGTGGTTCATAATAGAGGGTTCCCAAGGGTTTCAACAACGGTAGTCTTTTTGATCGGTTTTGCAGTTTAGGAAAACACTTGCACACAGACTCTCTTGACAGGCGATCTAGTCTTAGCCCCAATACATAACTTAGCTCAACCATTTTCTAGTCTTTTCAACGAATCATGCCGTATCCGGTGAAGTAAGGCTGACCCTAATGCGATAGAACGCGATGACATGGATCCGTGTTCGCATTTTATCATACTGGTAGTATGGACTATAGGGTAGTCCCGAGAGGGAAATGAGAATTTATAATCAGGGGCCGCCATGGACACAAAGGTGAGACCAAAGTTCAATGAAGATAGTTAGCTTCAGAGTAAAGTTTGTGGTATGAGTCAAAACTAATTTAAATCATTACTACGATCGTAGGTCTATGTGAAAGCATAGCGTATCTTTTTGATCGTATTTAGCTCCTATTGCATACGGATAGCCGACCTATTGTTGAACTTTTTTCATGAGATACCCCATGGCCCGCTTGAAAGACCAGAAAATAACAGATCCTATTGAGGCTGAGATAAACTTCCTCTGAAGGGACGTTGTTTTTTTTCACTCTGTATCCCAAAAGCTGTAGGACACCGGAAGACCTCTCGATTTCGGACGTTTTTTTTTTGATATATTCCATGTTCACGTTTCACTACTCGTCTTTCAAATATTTGGTCAAGATCTCGTATTTCCTGCCCTAGTGATGATTTTTCCTACTGGTTCCTACCGTATTTGCTGTGCGGCATCCGTTTATCGGGTGCTCTGGAAATTTTTGATGAACTAAGCATAGCGTCGAATCCAGGAGCGATTAAAGGACTAATCCCGACAGCTTTTCATAGCACATTTGTTTACATTTTGCTTGAATGAAATCACGCAGGCCTTAATTCTCAATTGAACAATGAGGGGTTCGAACTCTCGGGTGTTCTCTTTGTTAACTACTGCTTTCCGATACTTTTCGTCGAGCAAGTTCCATGGCATTTATCGGCCCAATTCTTGGCGGCATCTCCACCAATTTCTGACAGTTTGAGTGGGCAGAATCATGCCCCATGCTCTGAATTATGGGGTTTCCAGAGCTGATGTCTATGTTTTGTCTCGCTTCTCTTTACTTACCCTGAAGGTTGCCTTTCGAAAGTAATGAGGCATGGGCGAATCTCCGTCGTCTGACTACAGTTGGGTTTTCGGCTTTTTTCTAATATTTTTGGAGTTTCAGCTAACTGGGTACGTCGCGACAAGCTGCGAGAGGAGGTCGTGGAGGAATGCCTAGTTTAACTAAATTCATTTAAAGATCCCGAAGAACTTTATGGACGTGGTTACGTTGTGCTAGCCTTTTCCCCTCTGGGAATTTTTGGCCATGTTTGCTATTTCTGTTCTTCTTCTGTTTACGTTCTAGGTGTTTATTTCCTTGTCTATGGTGTTTATGAAGAATGTCGCAGTTTGTTGGCTGAGATTAGTGGTATTAGCGGTAGAAAAGAAAATATTCAACAGTGTAAATGAGGCATAGAAAAGTCACAGAAGTCACTGAGGGACTGATAACCATAAACGTAAAATTTTATCATAAGTTTATCTCGTAGCAGTAGGGTCGCTTCCTACCTTGAGTGTTTATTCAAGCGTTATCTTCCCAATCGTGTGGGGGTCCAAAACATATTCTTTTTTCTTCACCGCTAAATCGAAAGAATTTTGGCTATTGTGACTCCCGTAGGGCCAATCTTATTTCCAACGCCTCTGTAGTACTCGGCAGTGGAATTGGATCGATTATATTTTTTCCTCATGGTCGAAATGGAAGTTCAAACGATAGTCTCAAGAACTCGTTTCCAAACAAGTCTAATAATAGGCAATGAAGAATGTTAAGTAGGGAGACTCGTTTTCGAGTAGCTAACAACAAAAGTCTTGAGAAGTGGATGTGTTTTTGTATTCAAAGGCATGGAAATCGACCAGACAAGTTTATGCGCAGTAAAACCATACCCTGTGTTGTTCAGGGACAGTCGGAGAATGTAAAAGTTGATTAAGGCATGTTCATTTGTTGAAATAGGTCCTTTGATCCAGACAACCAACATTTTTTTCAAAGGAATCTTTCTGTAAAACTCTGAAAATACTGAACATGAGAAACCAATCTATGTTAGGGAGGCTGCTGCCCCTATCATAATATAGTAGGGCATTCAAAAAAATAACGCTCTTGGAAGACACGATGGGAAAAGCAGCTCGGTGGAGATCTGGTCCACGGTGAATCTTCCAAAAAGACATGACTTTTTTGAATGCTTACTAGATATTATAATTGGCTAATATTTCTGATAATGGTCCTTTTGCCACAAACATCACAGCTTGCAACTTATTCGCACTGATCTGATCCTTTTGATTTGACGATTTCGATCAATCAGAACTCCTTTGCATCATATCTGCATGATAGATGTTTTATATTCAGATCGATACGATTGGAACAATTTCGATGAGAGACGAGCGTTTGGCGCCTCGGTATCACTTTATGAGAAGAATCCGCTGACAGGTGTCAATGCCGGTGAACCTGTGGCTGATGTCTGGGGTGTCGTTGGAAGGAACAATAACGGGGTAAGTCAAGGGGTTTCAGATTGGATCACTACAGAGTCGTGCGAAAATAAAGCGCTTCTAAAAACTTTCTGCGAAATTTGAGTCATTATTTTTTTCTTCATTGAAAGGGCTTCAACGTTATATGATCCGCCTCCTAGTTGAAATCATTCAGGAATACTCATCCTCATTCAAAGGAAGTTTTTAATTTCCGCCCGAGGTTGAAAGCATGGCTCATTCTTGAACGGTTGTTCCACTTGGAAGCTCCGTTCAGTTCTATTTTTTACCAAATGATTTTCAAGGTGCTAGCGCTTGCTGATGGTGTGAATTGGGGCGAAGGAGCACGTCTAGCAGCACGTTGTGCAGTACGTGGTGCGATTGACCATATGAATGAGCACATCGAGATGGGCAAATTGACGAATACTACGGTAAGCATAATTTGAGTAACTGAATTTTCTACACCGTTTAGAAACATTGGCCACGCAAAAATTTTGATCTTTCCACCCAGCTGTTTCTTCAAGTTGGTATATTCCTTCTGTGGTTACAATAATCTTGGAAGGCTGCTGTAATGTTGCCCTATTCATTAGTGCACCGTTCGTGAATACCTCTAGGATTGAAATGTTTGAAATACGGATCCACCACATCCATTTTTCAAAGTAGTTCCGAAGGTCTTGGCCCTGATCACATCACCGGATGTGCCAATTTTAGACTTTAAACTCGATTTGTGGCTGCAGAACTATACCTAACTCATTCCAACGGTCTATTGGGATGACAGACCTTTAGTGGTGGATGTTTTCATGGTATTTCATTCATCACCTTCTTTCGAGCGGCGTAAAGCTCTATTAATCACTGTAAGAACTTAAGCCGAGTATTTCCTGTTGTTATTCTAACAGGAGTTATTTTTTGCATCTCTTTCATATTATTTTTATTCACATCCCCGACATTCTTTTGACCAGCTGTTCTTTTACGTTCGTAATTCTACCGGAGTTGCAGTACCCACTTCCCATTGGTCATTTTTTTTCACAGCTCTGAACTTGCGGTTATTTTTCAGATCCATTTTTAGGAAGTGTTTCATGAATTGCTGGCGTCATTCCATTCGGCTCACTCTTTGATATTACAAGAAGGTGGAATGTTAACGACGTTGTGCGTGGCCGTAGTCGCACCTGCGGTGCATTGCGACAGGTACTATCTTTGTAAGAAAATTATGTGGAAATCATGATATTTCATTATTTTCGAATAAATTTTCTTTTTTTACCTAGCAAACAATGATAGTTAGCAGTGATTCTGAAATGGCGGAGTCACCACCCGCTTTCTTATTCAATTTTTCATCAGTACTTGTATTACATGGAACTTCAATCACTATTGTTTGATCCTTTTATAGCTGGGTCCTGTGCGTGTGCAATGTGGGTGATTCATTGTGCTTCGTCTATAATCGTGACTATGGTGTGCGAGAAGTGACGATGGGCAGCCATGACATTGATCAGGTAGACTCCTTTTTCCTTGTTTTTCATTTTACTTCGGTAGGCTACTTGTGAACCTTGAGAAAGATATAGAACTATTAACGAGCTGTTCTTAGAAGGATAGAACTTTCTTTAAAAAAGTTTGTGAGAACAAGGGTATTGGAATAGTAGCTTATTGTTCCATTACTTCTTTCTTCACCGTAGCAATAAGCTGTAGAGTTGCCATCTCGGAAGAGTAGATGATCCACCCGAAAGGTCTAGATGTGATGGTTTTATCTTTGTTCCTCACTCCCTCTTTCTTATTACCAGTTGCTTATGCTGGCCTTCGCAGAGGAGTCGCCAAATCCCGTCTCAATCTTACCATTTCCCCAGGCTTAGCAATTCCCAATTTGGACGCGAAGTATGAACATTTCTATGAGCGTTCGAGTCGGTATGGAAATGACGACAATTGAATGAAAAATTAGTGACAAAAATTAGGGCATTGGAAGAAAAAATGTCGGGAGAAGAGCGTTTTCAGTGAATTAGTTGAAATTTAATCGTGTAACTGTTATGAGTAAAAGTTTCAAACCGTTGTTGATTCAGATGCGTGATATGCGAGATGCTGGCGGTGCTCTTGGACCAGTTGACGGACGGAATCCTCAGTTACATAACTTGACGTGCAGCATGACATTTGTTGAAGAGGGTTAGTCGTCTTGTCGCTGTTTTCTTTTGCCTTTACATCCCTCAGAAGATTTGGTAGCGTACGTATGCACATAGATAAACATGTGTTCGTGGCCTTACCTGCGTCACGGGCAAGCTTGTTTTGAAGCATTGAAAATATGAAGTGTTGTCGCATGACATGAGGGTTAAGCAAAAAGTCATCTCACCTGCGTGGATGTTAAGGGAGATGAGGGGGAAGGGGGAAGCAAAAGAGGAAATCATTTCATCGACGGTGTTTCTATGCAAGCCCTATACCAATACAACAGTTGGAATTAATTGGAAATCGAGTCTAGTTCATGCAAAATTAGATGAAAAGACGGGATAAAAAATTAATAAAGTCTCCCTTCAAAAAAGGTATAGGCAGGGCGCCCGAAGTACGACGTGGCTTCCATGTAAGAAGTCCATACCCTCGTTACCGTTACCAGTGACAGTTTCAGTTTCTTGCATATGCTTCAGCTATGTACCATTGCTTTGGAGGTTTTGGTGGTACTTCATGGTGTATTCCGCCTATATAATGAATAACGGTAGGGAAGCGATGTTCTGGTACGTAGTGACGTTCCAGGGAAGTTTTGCACCAAGATAGCAAACATGAATGTTGACAGGCTCCATCTGATCGTACCAAATTAGGTACGGTTTCAGACCATGCTCTTGTGCCTCAAGCTACTAACCTTTTTCCAACGTCCTATTCTCATGGTGCTCGTCACATTAGGTTTTTAACTAGAAAGGCTTGACGTCAGTCCGTCGCTATAACTCATGATCGTCAAAGACACCGACGTCACTTCATCCATAGTCATCTATGAGCCCGTCGGATTTGCTTTAATGGCTGGAATAAAAAAGGCTTCAAATTGGAGCAGTATATCGGAAGAGAAAATGTTGGAGCAGTATATCGGATGAGAAAATTATTTTTCGTCGGGGTTTAGTTGCTGTACTCTGCTGAGATCCTGGTCAGCACGTATCTTGTAGGGAAGGAGTGAAGAAGTGATGGGAATATATGAGACCCAAAATTGCTTAAATTCCCACTTTACTAGGGGCGACACTATCGCTTGGTAGGCGTTGAAATATGCTCGCTGCCCCAGTTACCAATCCGGGCTCTGACTTCCCTTCATGACGCTATGGGAGGGTTAAAGTCTCATGGAAGTCATTGCAAAATAGGAAAAATCCCGCAAATTTTAGTTTTAATGGGTTAGCAGGCCTATCCGGATTTCGGCTTCTTGGGTTAGTAATATTTTCCCTCCCCTGTGAACATCGATTATTCATCGAACATCAGAGATCACTTCATTTCCTTTTTCCACAGTTCATCCACTAGTTCGGGAATTTCTAGGTGACATTGTGTTTATTACGTCGGATGGTGTATCGGATAACTTCGATCCGGTGGTTGGGAAATTTTGCGTCATAAAGCGAGCGGAAGTTGAAAACAAGGAGAATGCACAGCTACCCCCTCGAGACAACAGAAAGTTGTCAGTGTGAGTTTTATTTCCACGTCATACCTCGTAAGTTTGGCGGCAAGCTTTTCATATCTTCCTTCAACCGATTTAATGGAAATTGTAGAGCTACGAAAGATTCTCCTTCAAGAGAGTTTGCTCGACCCCGGACATGTGCAGCGACGTTACCATGTGTGGATGCAGCAAGTCGTCATGAACTGATGCTGGTCCGAATGCGGGATATTATCGCGAATGGGATTGATCCACCGAAAGAGGTAAACTGGGAGAGTTTTATTTTTCAGAAACTAGATTATTTTTTGATTTTGTGAGCCTGGCGAGTGGTATCGAGCTGGCTACAATGAATCTATTCGTTTGTCCACTAAGGACCTGGTACTAACCATCCTGGTGCTGACTGCAAGTAATCCGAATTCGGTTCACAAACCCTGTATGTGGGAGCAACACGGCTTATCACAACACAAACTTTCTCTGGAAAAAAATAAAAATGAGAAAAAGTTGTATTTTTTGAAAAGGAACATAGAGCTGTAGATTTTTGAAGTTGAGGTGGAGATAGGTGAATGATTGTCACAGACTCTTGTTTCAGGCCTGTCG